GGGTCGACTTTTTCTGTAAATATCAAACTCCTCATAGACTTATAGACCCGTGTACACTCACAAACGCATTAATCCCTTAACCTATAAGTCTTCAATACACCAAAATCACTAAGGGGCACTAGATGCACTTACACGGAGGAACGAACAGCTAGGAAGAGGCTTGTTGGTGACGATGGTGAGGTCAATGTGCATGGCCAGGGTGTGCCCAACCTGGCCGGCAAGGTGGCTGACGCGGTTTTAAGGCTGAAGTATGGAGAAACAGCGGGTGTAGGGAGCTCTTCGGATCCAAGCACCACGCCGGGCAAAAAACCAGTCGTGAAGAGGAGGAAGCAGGGTGATGGTGGGGTGGAGGAGAGGGAGGAAGTTGATATGGACACTTCTATGATGGCGGCCTCCGGGGAGGAGGACCGCCGGGTCCAATGAATTGCCTAAGTTGGAACTGCCGGGGAGGGGGGAACACCCGGACAGTTCGCGAGTTAGCGATGTTGTGTAAGTCGCATTCCCCCATGATTGTCTTTCTGTGTGAAACCAGGCAAAAGGAGGTGAACATGAAGAGGATCCGAGCCAAGCTGGGCCTTAAGGGTTTTTGTGGAGTGGATAGTGATGGTTTGAGTGGTGGTTTGGCCTTGTACTGGAGTGAAGAATGTGTGGTAAACATTTTGGAAAAGGATGCTAGATTCATTGATATAACTATTAAAGTCCGGGAGGGTGCGCCGGAATGGAGAGCTACCTTTGTGTATGGAGAGCCACGGGTGGAAAACAGACACCTAATGTGGGCTAAGTTACGGAGACTGAAAACTACTAATAATCTGCCATGGTTGGTAATTGGTGATTTTAACGAAGCTATGTGGGACTTTGAGCACTTTTCGATCACGCCACGAGCGGAAGCGCAGATGGTAGCCTTCAGGGACATGTTGGAGGTGTGTGAGCTTGTGGATCTTGGGTTCACAGGCCTCCCGGTCACTTATGATAACAGACGGGGCAGATCGTCTAATGTTAAGGTGAGACTCGATCGGGCAGTGGCCACAAATGATTGGCGCAATCTGTTCGCCTTTGCTGTAGTAGAGCAGATACCATCTCCATGCTCTGATCATCTTGCGGTGTTTCTTAAGGGAGAGCCGGACCCAGGCCCGGTGAGGGGGAGGTGTAGACGATACGAAGTCTTTTGGGAACGGGACTCAGCCTTGCCAAAGGTGGTGGAAGATGCATGGGGAGCTGTAGGTGTGATCCAGAACCTCTCACAATTGAGAGAAGCCCTATCTAAAACCATGACAGCTTTAGGGCCGTGGAGCAAAAAGTTTGGCAATGTGACTAGAGAGCTTGCGAAGTCAAGAAATCAACTGGAAGAGCTTATGCATATGAATGCAGACAGGGAAGAGATAAGAAGAGTGATGGATAAAATGAATGAACTGTTATATCAGGAAGAGATGTTGTGGATGCAGAGATCGCGGATTTCTTGGCTTAAAGAGGGAGATCGTAATACAAAGTATTTTCAAAGCAAAGCAGTTTGGAGAGCGAGGAAGAATAAAATTAGGGAACTGTCAGACAGCATTGGAACAGTTCACACGGAGTTTTCAGCTATGAGTAGGATCGCTACTGAATATTTCCACAAGATCTTTGCCGCGGATACCACCCTAGATGCAAGAGGGGTGGTGGATTTGTTTGAGCGAGTGGTGTCGTCGGCTGATAATGATAGGCTGTGTGCGCCATTCACGGATAAGGAGATATCGGATGCGTTGTTTCAGATCGGGCCTTTGAAGGCACCAGGCCCCGATGGCTTCCCCGTGAGGTTTTTCCAACGGAACTGGAATACTGTTAAGGAGGGAGTGATGGCTGCGGTTAGGGACTTTTTCAGCACTGGACATATGCCCGAGGGAGTTAATGATACATCGATTGTGCTCATCCCAAAAATATCTAACCCCTCACGTATGTCAGACTACAGACCGGTAAGTCTTTGTAATGTGAGCTATAAGGTAATTTCCAAGTGTTTAGTTAATCGTTTACGGCCTTTGTTGGATGATATAATTTCGGTGGAGCAAAGTGCCTTTATCCCTGGCAGGATGATTACAGATAACGCTTTGGTTGCCTTTGAGTGCTTACACTATATTAAACAGGAGAAGGATCCTAAAAAAAAATTTGTGCATATAAGTTGGACTTATCTAAAGCTTATGATCGGGTTGATTGGGCTTTCTTGAAGCAAGTGATGCAAAGGTTAGGTTTCTCTCATCGATGGATTGACTGGATAATGGCGTGTGTCACGTCGGTGAGATACTCAGTAAAATTAAATGGAACTCTCCTGGATTCATTTGCACCGTCGCGTGGGCTGCGGCAAGGAGACCCACTCTCTCCATTCTTATTCTTATTTGTGGCAGATGGTCTTTCAGCTATTCTGAGAAGCAGGGTGCAAGATGGAGTTATTTCACCCGTGAAAATTTGTAGAAGAGCACCAGGCATATCCCACTTGTTGTTTGCAGATGACACTATGTTGTTTTTCCAGGCTTCAAGGGATCAAGCAGAGCAGGTTAAAGCAAGCTTGGACCTGTACAGTACGGCCACGGGCCAAAGTCTGAATTACGACAAGTGCTCGGTGTTTTTTGGTGCAGCGTGCCCGGTCACGGTTCAAGAGCAGGTACGGGATGTCCTCAAAGTTACAAGTTTAGTGTTTGAAGAGAAGTACTTGGGACTCCCCACCCCCGAGGGACGCATGTCTAAAGGAAAGTTCCAAAATCTTCAAACAAGTCTGACCAAAAGACTTGTTCAGTGGGGTGATGGTTATCTGGCGCAACCGGGAAGAGAGGTTCTTATCAAGTCTGTTGCACAAGCGTTACCCACTTACCTAATGAGTGTTTTCAAGTTACCGTTCTCGGTGTGTGATGACCTGACTAGAATGGTCAGAAATTTCTATTGGGGGTCGGAGAAGGGCAAGAGGAAGGTTCATTGGAAGGGATGGGATCATCTTATGCAGCCCAAAGAGAGGGGGGGTGTCGGTTTTCGAGACTTTCGTCTGTTTAACCAAGCCCTGTTGGCTCGACAGGCCTGGAGACTATTAACAAGGCCTGAGAGTTTGTGTGCATGTTTGCTTAAATCAAAATACTACCCGGTTGGTAAGCTCGAAGACACGGTGTTTTCTAGTAATGCTTCTTCATCCTGGTCGGCTATAAGTCATGGTTTGGAGCTATTGAAGAAAGGATTGATATGGAGAGTGGGCAATGGAAGAAGCATTCGAGTGTGGAGGGACAGTTGGATTCCACGGCCTTTTTCTTATAAACCGATCTCAAGGCAGGGTGTGTGTCGTATTCGCTATGTGTCCGACTTGTTGAATGAAAATGGGTCTTGGAAGGTTCAGACTCTCAACCAATATTTCATGCAAGCAGATGTGTTGGAGATCTTGAAAATCAGAGTCTCCCCGAGGCGAGAAGAAGATGTCATTGCGTGGGGGCCTGACAAATTCGGTGTTTTTTCTGTAAAAAGTGCTTATCACTTGGCGTTTGACGAGGCCCACAGAGCTACTGCTGCGTCAACTAGTTCAGCGCCGTCGGGAGCAAGGAGCTGCTGGAAGTTTATTTGGAACTGTGGTGTCCCGCCTTCAGTGGCGAATTTTGCATGGAGGGTTGCGACTGATGGGCTGCCAACATGAAAAAACAAGCATAAGATTGGACTGGAAATTACAGATGTTTGCCCAGTTTGTGGGCTTGAGACGGAGGACAACTTTCACCCGTTTTTGAACTGTCAATTTGGCAGAGATCTATATGTAAAAATGGCGAAAATATGGAGACTTCCTTAACTACAATCAATAGTAAATTGTGGGAAGGAGTGGCTACTACAGTTACTAGCACAGAGAAATGAGATGGAAAGATGTACGCTTCTTCTTGTTTTCTGGCGGAGCTGGTATATACGCAATGAGGTGGTGCTTCACAAACCGGCTCCGCTAATGGACGTGTCGGTTAGGTTTCTCCAGGGCTATATGGACTCACTATTGGCCATCAAAAATGACAATGGAGCTGATCCAGGGAAAGGTAAAGCTTCCACTACATTGCATACCAGGGTTCAGGCGGTTAGTCATAATGTCATGTTGCCTAGATGGATAAAACCTAATTAGGGATGGACAAAACTGAACACGGATGATGCGTTTGTGTCAAGGAGCGGGCATGATATTGCGGGACGAATCAGGAAAAATCATCTTCTCAGCTTGCAGGGCATTATTATCTTGCAGAGATGCGTTGGAGGCGAATTATGTGCCTATTTGGAGGGATTGTCGTCCTCGATACAACGCACAACTTTGCCGATCCAGGTCGAGTTGGACTCTATGGTTGCGGTGTCTATGATCACATGTGGGTCTATCGATCGATCGGTTTATTCTTCGTTGGTGAATGAGATTAGAGAGTTGGTGAATTCACATCAAATTTGTAGTACTCATGTCGCTCGCTCGCAGAATAAAGCGAGTGACTAGTTAGCTGCTTTTGGTCGTCTTAATAATAGGACTATGACTTGGTTAGGATCAGGTCCTCCCGAAGTTTTGGAGTTAGTTGATGAGGATTGTAATGAGACCTTGATTGAGTAATACAAAGTTTGAGTTCGCAAAAAAAAAAAACCCAAGTAAGAGTCATCCTTGTGCTGCAAAGACTCGGTATTGGGAGAGGCGCCTTTGATGCGCGTTTACGCATCGGACGGAATATGCCTACGCCTTCGCTTTTTTTCTTTTTGATGAGACGAAATACGCCTTCGCTGTTGCGTTGACGCACATGCGTCTCTTGTAAGAAGAAGGGACGTGACAGGTACGCAAAGCGGCGAAGGTAGGCAGCGACGACGAGTCCACCACCGCTCCACTCTCCTCCCCGGCACACCCTAATCGCTTTCCCGGGTTTAAAACCGCTCCAGATCCGACGAGCCGACCAAGTCAATCCGCCGGCCACCGACGCGCGCCGCGGCACCGAAGCTTCCTCCCTTCCTTCCCTCCGCCCGACCCGCGATCTCGATTCCTGCCGGGGCGAGGCGGAGGAATGGGGGTGGAGGAGGAGGAGGGCGCCATCAACGGCGGCGAGGAGGGGCCCGGCCTCGCGGCGGCGCCGCACGACCGCTGGGTCCTGCTCCGCCCCGCCCAGGGCTCCGCCCGCCCCTCCGCCCGCTACAAGGTGCGCCCGCAATTCTCCTCCGATTTGGCCGTCGCGGTTCCTGTCTCTGATATCAGTGATCTGCCCTGTTGTCCCGTCCTGATCCGCCCCGTAGCCATTGGCTCGTGCGTAGGGATGCTGGGATCGAATACATGGGATGCGAGATGTGACTAGGCACCGCGTTCATGCGCACGAGGAATGTTCAGGGTAGAGGCAGACGGTCATTTCCGTCCTGTCCCGCTCTCTTCGGCTAGCTGATCGAAACAGGGGAGTTTATCAGGACAGGAGTTAGCAAGTTACTCAAGTTATTGTTGCGCACTGTGATCTAAACTTGACACGGCAAAAACATGCTTATCAAATCTTCAGACGTAATGTACGCCAAGGATCATATGGCTGGCCGGCGTGCCGATCCAGTGTTCCTTCGTGCTGCGCGACTTCCTTGCATTGCGTTTTGTTTATTCTGTAATGACTACTGAGTACGGAGGTGCTAAATACATGACAGCATGCCGCGGAGGTGGTTCAAGACAAGCTGTACGTGGTCGGGGGAAGCCGGAATGGGCGCTCTCTGTCAGATGTTCAGGTTTGGCACTCACGCATGTTTACTCATCATATCCCCTCTGTTCCTTCATCACCTGAAACATATCCTAACAGCTGCAATTTTGGCAGGTCTTTGATTTCAGGACGTCCAAGTGGTCAGCGTTACTGTTAAGTCCTAGTCGAGATTCAAACCAGCTGAATCTTGAAAATAATGCCGGAAACCAGCCGTTCCCAGCATTAGCAAGCCATAGTATGGTAATGATATCATCTTCCATTTCTGCGGAGAATTAACTAAACTTTTCCTAAGCATCGTTAAACCTTTTGAGCGAAAGAGTGTCATTTTTTATGCTGACTAGTGTTTTCATTCAGGTCAAGTGGAGGAACATGCTTCTGGTTGTAGCTGGGAACTCCAGAGCATCAACATCGAATAAGGTTTCAGGTGCTTCTTTGGATTTCCCTCTTTCTTGGTTCATGCTAAAACGTTGAGCAGCAAATTCCGGGTCATGGCTTTGCTTAAACATACCTAGTAATAGTTCGACTATCACTTTATGGTTCCGCACCACCACCGAAAACTATGACATATTTGTTGACACCCCTAAATGTTGTAAGTTGCACGATCATAGAGTTGTTCTAGTGTCGTACATGAACGGATGTGTGCACATATTTCACTTTAAGGTGGATTATTTCTTAGTCTATGTCAGTCCATATGCATCTGGCGAAATTTCAGATTTGAAAAATAAGCAGTACTACAGGGATGATTCTCAATTACTGTTTGTGGTATTATAATGGATACATTTATTTCATTTCATTGTGCTGTTTACATACTGATTAATCACGTGTTAAACTTGTAGTGAATCAACATGCTTCATCTCAATTTCACAAGTTACATTTTCCCCAAATTCCAAAAATTGCCTCTTTCCAGTTTCCATTGCCTTTGGTTTGGCAGCTCTGTGTAGCGAAGGCCCACGACCATGAGTAGTCACCCAGTGTATCCAGGGGGTATCGGCATGTTCCCCATAATGACATGGCCCTGTGTTTGTGATTATTACCTCTATTTTTCTCCATGAAAGGCAGCGCTCCTGCCGGTTGCTTGACAAAGAATGTTGCCTCTTTCTAACACCTAATATATTTTAGCATAATGATATGTGCTTTAACATTGCCTCTTCATGTTTTGGAGTTATCTTCCAGATGACTTTACAAGTACTAGAACTGATTGCATTGTATTTCTGCCTGCAGTTTGGTTTATCGATCTGGAAACAAATAGCTGGTCTGCTGTTGATACATATGGAAAAGTCCCAGTAAGAATCTTGTCTCTCCTGTGGTTATACATTAATTTACTGGAGAACATGTTCTGAATCCTCCCTCCATCAGATGGCTCGAGGTGGGCAATCTGTAACACTAGTCGGTTCTCGATTAATAATGTTTGGTGGAGAGGATAATAAGAGGAGGCTTCTGAGTGATCTTCATGTACTTGACTTGGAGACAATGATTTGGGAAGAAGTTAAAACAGAGTAAGAGTTTACTTATTAGTTATGCTAAATATCGCTTAAGGTATTTCTAACCACTTGCTGAATGCTGAATTCATCGTTCTGTTTGTTATTGTGAAACAGAAAAGGTGGCCCAGCTCCTAGGTATGATCATTCGGCTGCTGTTTATGCTGAACATTATCTTTTAATCTTTGGCGGTTCCTCTCACTCCACATGCTTCAACGATCTGTACTTACTTGACTTGCAAACTGTAAGCACTGAATGCTCTTATGTATTTTGCTATACAAGTACACTTGTGCATCAACTCACATTCTGTAAATCTGCAAAGCCAAAGTTTATTTGATAAATTAGCTGATATTTAGTTGTTCTTTGTAAACCCATTAAAGATCGTCAAAGTTCTCCACATTAATTGTTCTAGGTTGTAGCAGGAGTTGCAAGTCAAAATTTTATCAAGTTAATAGTAACTGCAGGGTTAAACTGTTCCAATCAAATGACTAGGATCCAACTCCATTTCACTATCGCTAACTACATATCAATGCATCATGAAATGACATGCAGATATGCTTATCATATTATGTTGTACTGTACACATAAGGGATACTTTAGAGGGCTTTTCCTCTTGAGCCAAATTTAACACGTCTTTAGGACTCGACTGATAAGTTTGCGTAAATAACGTTTAATTGTAACAGCTGGAGTGGTCTCAACCTGACACTCAAGGTGCACATATAACTCCTAGGAGTGGCCATGCTGGTATGATGATTGACGAAGATTGGTACATAGTTGGTGGTGGAGATAATGCCAGTGGTAATGCCTGGATGCATGATACAGTATTTATATGTTTTTATTAAATTCCTTTTGTGCTGTTCTTTCAGCTCCGGTATCTAAGGAAATGCACATGTTGTAGGTTCCACTGATACAATCGTAATGAACGCTTCCAAGTTTGTCTGGTCTGTGGTCACTAGTGTGTCAGTTCGAGATCCACTTGCTTGTGAGGTAAGCAGTATTTGCACATTGCTGCTGACATGTTCAGTCATAAAGATTGGTCATACAAATTCATGTTCTAGGAAGTGCATAACTATGAATATTTAGAGCTTTAGCTTTTCATCATGTGGTGAATCATGACTTCTTAACATATTTTTCAGGGCCTCACTCTTTGTTCAACCACAGTTGATGGCGAAAAGTTTCTAATTGCCTTTGGTGGTTACAATGGGAAGTACAACAATGAGGTATTTGCTTTGAGCAAATAACGACCATGCATAGTATTTTGTTCAAAATGATCCACCTGTAGGATTTTCTCTTTTGATGGCTGTTGTCATGCCATTGTCTCTATGTGTGGTCCCTCTAGTTGGGGTTTTTGGGTTTAGGGTGAAGTTACATATTCTTCTTTTTTCCCTTTTCAGTACTCTTTGTTTCCGTTAGCAATTTTTAGTGCGCTTTGTTTCAGTTAAGCATACGCCTAATGAAAAAAATGACACTACTGCAGATCTTTGTGATGAAACCCAAACCAAGAAACTTTGTGCAACCTCGGCTTTTCCAATCTCCAGCAGCCGCTGCTGCTGCAGCTTCTGTGAAAGCTGCCTATGCTGCAATAACTGCTACTGATGAGAAAACTAAGGATATTGTTGCTACTGATGATTTGGATGTGAAGAGAGCTGAACCTGGAAGTTCTTCCAAAGAAATGGTTGCCGAAATTGATGCACTTAATGGGGAGAAAGGAGAACTAGAGTCTCGACTGGCAGAAGTTCGCACTGAAAACTCAAAGCTAAAGGATAAACTAGATGTGGTGAAGTTGTCCCACAATGAATTGACAAAGGTAAACTGTCATTCCATTTGTTTCTTTGAGAGTGCAAACTTTCTTTCCATACTGCAGAAGGACATTCTTATTCACCATACGAATTTCCACTGTTTTTTATTTTTCTTATGAAGGAACTTAGATCAGTTGAGAATCAGCTAGCTGCTGAGGGTTCAAGATGCCAGAAACTGGAGGTTCTGAACTTGCGTACTATAATTAGTTCTGAGCGTGGACACATGTATTTTCAATTCTCCTTCTTATGCTGCTGATTGCTTACCTCTTCTTTTCTCTGGTCAATTCAGTCCCAAATTGCTGCTGCGCATAAAAGGTTGGAGTCTGCTAGTTCTCTGGAAAATGAACTGGAAGCCTTGCAGCAACAAATATCTCAGGCGGAACAAACCATGACGACTTCTCAGAGACGGAAATCAGGGGGCGTGTGGAAGTGGGTGGGAGGAAGTGCAGAGGTCTCCGACAATGAATAGTAAGTCTGCGTGCAACATGCTTGAATGGAAAAATATCTGATGTACTTATGTGTTACTGTGCTAAGCTATTGTCAAAGCTTCATGGTTATCATTTTGCGCAAGAATTTTGTAGAGGTTGATGTGATCCCTGTTTTCAAGGATACAATGCATGGTTCTAGATCATATATTATGTAAGCAAATAGTTAATGCGTAATGTAGAATGATTTGTGAAATGAACATTAAAGGGTGATTGCCTACATTTTTTTGGCATCTATGCTGCTTTATGGAAAGAGAACCAGGAAACAAACTTTTCTTAACAAAGTGTTCCCGCACATATATGCAACTCATGTATGATGAAATCTTGTGCCCTAGTTTAGATTTTTGACGTTTATCTCTATATATTTTTTTTCTTCCCGAAACAGTTTCTTGTATGCTTACAGAACCAAGGACAGCAAAATCCTGGAGGCAGAGAAATGTAAATGTATTCCAAAGCTGCATTCCATTTCATGTATTTGACCCGTGTTATACTGATTTCCCTACCGTTGAGGCCACCTCTGCTCAACTTGCTCAAATTTCATACTTGAACTTACAAAGAGTGTATGTAACTCTTTAAGCATTATATGTCAGGTCCACCAAGACAACCTTGATTTCGCTAAACTAGAGTCCGTAAAAACTATCGGTTCTCCTTTTACAGACCCCCTTTCAATTTTTCTGATGGCTCGATATGTGATAGTACAACTTCCGGGAGCACTTGTAACTCTTTAAGCATTCTATATGCCAGGTCCTTCAAGACAGGCAGCCACCCAGCAGCGAAACGGAGGCGAAGCTGCTACAGTTTTGAGACGGCTTGTTTGTCGCAGGCCACCGGGCTCCTCCTCAAGAACTTGCCCGCGACTGATTTTGCGAAGGCGTCACTGAGAACAGTCTTTTGGATCTTCTGAAGCGGCGACACCTGGTAGAAATTTTCCGTAGGCGGCCCGTTTAGACATTGCACAGCAAAAGCATGGTGGTACCATATATATGACAAGTATACCTAAGATTGTACCGGACTGGAAATATAATTGGCTGGGGATGTTAGCTCTTGTTTTTTGTTTTAACCTTTCTGGAGTTGGTATACAAATATGCTCATTGGTTCAGGCGACTGGGTGGAAAATACATTGTTTATAGCGTAAATTTACATACTTCTGGTTCAGGTGTGAGTGTTATGTGCCGTTTTTTTTTATATATAAATTTGGTTTGTTCAGTGCATAAATGGATTCTTACCAGAGAGGTAGCCTCGCTTGGCGATGGCATTTGGTCTGGTATTTTGCCCTTCAGCCTGAAATATTTGAACATGTATAGATGGTTAAGTGATGTAGTAATTCTCTGGATTGTGTGGCAAATTGGTAATGTGTATAGAGTCAGGGGCTCAGGGCAATCTTACTGTGTGGCTGCAGCATCAGGTTGCACGAGCAGCAGAGGCCCCAGAGGTGCAGGAGCCACCTTCACCTGCTCCGGCGACTCCGCCGTCGCTGCTCCCATCTCCGGCGCGCCGGACATCTCAGCCAGATCGACCCACGATAGCCTGCGGCGGAACGCCTGCCGTGCGTCATCTGCGAGCGGCGTCACCACTGTCACCCTCCGCAGCGTGGCGAGCTTCCCCTGCGGCAGCCCGGGAGCAAAGAGCGCTGCGGCCGCCTCGGGGGTCGCCACGACGTCGGTGGCGCCGTGGGCGGCCACCGCGGCCCGCAGGTCGGAGGAAGGCGGCAGGAGCACCGTGGTGGCTCCGGCCGCCGGGAGCCCGAGGGCGAGCAGTGCCAGGCCGCCGTGGACGCTGGTTTCCCACGCCGGGAGTGTGGCAAGGCAGACCCGGTCTTCGTCGGGTGAGGCCACGCCGGCCACGGCGGCGATCAGGTCGGCGTGCGTCATGGCCACCTTGTTGGTCGCCGACGAGCAGTGGACCACGAGGGCCGGGTCCCAGTGGTCTGGCCGGTCCGCGGCGATGGCGTCGAGCGCGGCCGGGTCGCCGCCTTCCATGAGCTCCTCCACGGACACAGTCCGTGGGTCCGACGACCTCGACATGAGCAGCAGCGGCAGGCCGCCGCCCGTCCCCGGCGCGCCGACGATGATCGCGGCGCCGGACTCCCGCGCCACGGCGTCTACCCTGGCGCCCGGGGCAGCGAGGACGGCCACGCAGCCGGCCGCGAGGACGCCGAGGAGGACGGGCGGGAGCAGCAGCGGGTCGTCGTCGGGCGCGGGGAGCGCCACGAGGACGGCGTCGCCGCGGCGGAGGCCGAGCCCGAGGCGCAGCGCGGAGGCGAGCGAGAGCGCGGCGCCGCGCAGGCCCGCGAAGGAGAGCGCGCGGCCCGTGGCGGCGTTGACGTAGGCCGCGCGCGCCCCGGCCGCCGCGTCGTCCGGGTGCGGCAGGCGCGAGAGCACGATCGCCGCCGCGTCGCCGCCGCACTCGAGCGTCTCGGCCTCCATGTCGCGAGCTCCGTCCGTCCGTGTGGGGTGTATCGCGGGGGCGGATTGGTGAGTTTTAAAAGCGCGGTCGGCTCGGTTTTGGCGCGCGGGCGGCATCGTGGAGTCCGCGGGGAGGCTTGTCCGGTGGCGTCGTCCGGCCGGGGACGGCAGCCACGATGCCGCCGCCCGCGCTCTGGTGCGTGCATGGGTGGTGCACGGTATCTTCAGGAGATATACCGTCCTTTGGGCCCACTACTGACTACTCTTGTGTCCCTTGCGTCCGCCTTCTACCGATACGGTGGTGCGTTCCTAGTCTTTATCTTTATCTTTACCTATATATATATATATATATATATATATATATATATATATATATATATATATATACTTAATAATAAAGCAAATAGTGCTTCTGATCGTACGTCATTAGAATTACCCCTGAAGTTGATACAAATTACCCACCATGCCACCCATAAGTAAACAAAACGGTTCAGTTTTTCTCAAAGTTGCGCTGGATTTCGTTCTTATTAAGTGATATCTTCATGTAACCAAACTGAAGGTGTAGCGCGGTGGCTAATGCTTTAATCCTCCAGGTAAGAGACCTGTGTTCGATCCCAGGCTCCACCACATTTTCTCTGTTTTTTGCGAACCCTCCCCCGCGTTAATGGGCCGGCCTAGGCGTCTGTTTTTTTTTTCAGTTTGCAATTTGCTTGTTCGTTTCTCATTTCTGTTTTGTGATTTTCCTTCTATACATTAATTATTAGGGATTTTCAAAAATTCAAAAGGTTGCGAATTTTGTTAAGAAATAAAACATTGGTGAATTCAAAAATGTTCTCGAAAGCATAAAATGTTCTTGATTTAAAAAACTCCTGTTTTTTATTTCTTTTTTGCCTTTTTTTTGTCATATCCGTTTTTGTTTTCTCGTCTTTAAATTAATTCGGGATTTCAAAATTTTAAAAGATTGTGAGTTTTGCTTTTTTTTGAGAAATCATAAAATTTCTGTGAATTCAGAAAATGGTCGGGAAATCAAAATGTTCGCAATTTTTAGAAAATTGTTTGCATGTCATAAAGAAATTCTCGATTTCTAAAAATATGTTCATGAAATAAAATAATGTTCATGATTCTTAGAAAATGCTTGTGTATTCAACACGCTTTTGGGAACTGGAAAAAATGACCATGAAATTTTAGAAAAGGATCAAAAAAATTCAAACAGATCCATTGAAACAAATATGTAAATAACGAACAAAACAAACCATAGATTCGGAGAAGTTATTTTATTATTTTATTTAGTTCATCGCACACCGGGTAAAAAAAGGATTTATGTGTTCTTTACAACGTTGATCCCCAAAAAAATGACACATTTTTCAATGGGTTAGTTTTTGTAAGCTATATGAAATGACTAAATGTCTAATTTACTTCCATACATATCTATGTTTATTGTGATACTATAGTTTTACAGGTCATGAAAAACACCACGACGCTAGCTAAAGTCGAGACACATCATTCATCATTCTACCTTAGGCAGGATCTATCAATACAGTTTGCTCATCCAAAAAACATTTTGTTGTGACGCCTTAATTTTTTTTTTTAATAATAAAGAGAATTGGGTTTCTGTCGTCCGTCGTCATGCACTTTTTGCAAAAAGCCCCCTGTGGTTTTATAAGTAATTAACCCGCGGTTCATTATGTATGTGAAAACAAATGTTTTGTGTTTCAGATCGACTGGAAGAGCAGACAAGGCCGGGGAGGGTCGAGGGCCGGGGACGGTCGAGGGCAGCCTGATCCGAACGGATCCGGTCCGATGGAGGCAAATCCGGCGGCGGCGCGTCAAATCTGGCGACGGGGAGGAGTAGACGAGGCCGGGGGCAGCCGATGGCAGCCGGATCTGGCGGATCCAGTCTGATGAAGACGGATCCGGCGGCGGTGCGTCAAATCTGTCGACGGGAGGAGTAGACAAGGTCGAGGGCAGCCGAATCCGCTTGGAGGCAAGCCAGAGAGTGGCGGTGCCGGACGCAGGGGAGGACGGGCTTCAGCGGCCGGCGAACTCGGAGGTGGTGGCTGCGCGACGACGTCCGGGTGCTGGCGGCAGCGGCGAGGCTCATTGCGTGCTCCCTGCATGACCAAAGGAAAAAGAAAAGGCTAAGATGCAGATGAGGAGGAGACATGAACAAGGAGAAGGACAGGTGCTGGAGCTCCAGTGTGGGTCGGCGTGCGCGAGGGATTGGGCGGGCGCTGAGCCCGTGGACGAAAGAGGAGACGCTCGGGAGGCTCGGTGGTGGCCTTGATGCCATCTGGATCCAGAGCTGGAGGCGGGGAGGGGGCGTTGTGGTGGGACATGAGCATGGCCGCCCGAGTACGAGACAACCATCGGTGCTAGAGCGAAGGCGGCCTCGAGCGCACGGCCTGAGCCAGCTCCTCATGGGCCGTCGTGGGATTTCCCGATGGCGCATGGGATACGGGGGAGCGGCGTCCTGATGGCGCGCGGGTGTGTAGCCCGTGCCATGGCCGGTGGATTAGCGGATCCCGCGCTGGTGGAGCTTGGGGGCGGGGGGATCCGGCGGTGGGTGGAGCTTGGGGGTGAACCCGGCTGCCGTGGGCGCGAGCGGCGAGCGGCGGCGTGTCCCAGTGGTCGTGGATCTGAGTCGGGATGTGGTGAGAGCCGAGCCGTTCGGAAGAGAACGAACCGCGGTCAACATGGATGGTTGTGACCGACGAGCCCGTATACGGCTGGACGAGCGCTGGCTCGTTTCTTCTAGACCAGTCGGGTGTGAGGCTAGCGTGCACGGATAAAAAACCTTTACACGGACGTGTTTGCATGAACTGTTTGTTCTCCGTTTGCACATTTCTTTTTTTTTAAACACAGTACAAACGCATACATTCATATATACACGTGTACACTCATCTTTACAAACACACGACGCACTATCCCTACGAGGACATGCAAAAGACTGAGCTGAGATATATCATCTAAATGATTTATGAAGTCACCGTGGGCGGCTCATAGTCAACGGAAACATCTTCTTCCACTGAACTCGCATCACCGAAAATCTAAAAATAAATCCAGAAAAATTGTAGAATCCTATTATCTTATAAAGAACATGTTTATGAGCAGCTATGTATATTTTATCTTACAAAAATATGAGCAGCTATGTATATTTTATCTTATAAAGAAAAATTGTAGAATCCTATTATCTTACAAAAATTTATATAGTAACACATTACCATATAAAGAACATGTTATTTTGATGCTTATCTCCAGGCTAATTAAATTAATTTATGAGCAGCTATGTATGCTTTACTTATGATGTAGAATCTAATCAATTTCTTTTTTAATCAACAAC